CCTCTGGTCTGGCAGGACTGCTTTGAGACAACAGACTCCTTTCTTAGAACTCTCTTCATTTTTTCACTTTTTGTTTTAAAGATAGTGATCTACCAAACAGGTAAACACAATTAGCTATCTGCTCCTATAGCCTATGGGACCCATAGCCTGATATTCCCATTCTGTGTAGGGAATGTTTTTTGCTTCAGACAGGGTTCCGTGAAAATCTGCCCATGAAGTGAAGAACTGCCAATTCTCTGGCAGTCAGTGGGAAAAATCTGAAGGAAGTCTGTATTAAAAACTTAATCTTCCCAGGTTTTAGCCATGCCAATAATGCAGACCAGCCATGGGGTTCACCAAGCTGCTTCTGGTGATTAGAATCCAACCTCCTGTGTTTTTTCAAAATAAGGGGGCAGGGATCTGCCATTTACACACAGGTGCTAGAGACACTGCTGTGACTGCTGCCACTTCAGCTCAGTGCTCACAAGACTCCTCAGATGCCAGGGGTGCAAAATACCCTCAAGGCTTTCCCTGCATGCTCCCATCTCTGCAGACTGCTGTATGTAATGGGTGGGCTACTGAGCTGGTTGAACCCATCCTGTGGATGGTGTCTGGAGAGGCAGGTGAGACCAGGCTGTTGATCCAAAGTTCATAAAATGAGAGCAGATGATCTAAACAGGACATACCCTGAGCCAGGAAATCCTAATTCCAGTCTAGGGCTAATTTTAATCTATTGTCTGTTGGATGTAAAGATCATGGTAAGGTACTAAGTTAAGGTTTAATATCTGATGTTTAGCAACTAAAAGCAGTAGAAACATACTCTTTGGAATTACTCTTGCTAGGAAAAAAATGCTTTTATATTGAGCATTAGAAAGGTACTTGATAGAAGAAATAAGAATTTGCAATCTATTTTCCAGTCTAAGGTGGTCGGGGCAAAGAAAATTTGTGGTTTTGCTGTGATATTTTGGGAACCTTTGATTTTTTTTGGTTCTTGGTTTTTTGGTTTTTTTTTTTTTTTTTTTAATTATTTGTGTTTTAAATATAAGGCAACAGCTGGAAATGCATGCTGTCATTTTTTGGTTTGAGTTGTAGGTAGCTGACACCATTTTTTACACTTTCTTACCTCAAGAGTCACCTCCTTCGATTCCCTTGGTCAGACGTGCAGTTACAGGGCTGCCCCTGTTCCCAGCAAAGTCAGCCACTTGCTGTCAATAGCAATGGTGCAGGCAGATCCTAAGTGCCAGGAACAGTTAATATTTAACCATCTTGTGGACTCTGGCTTGGCTTTTCTGTTCCAACCTACTGGGAGTGCCTGCTTGGGGAAGAAGTTTGGTATCAAAACATCACTGAAAGTCTCCATTGACCAGAGGATCAGACTCTGCTCTCACACAATCTCTAGAGATGCTGGAGAGAGATCCAGAGCTAACAGGCCTTCTGAGTGTGGAAATATCCCAAAACAGTGTATACTTCACTGTGGAACAAAGGTTTTTAAACCTGGGATGTCTTATAAGGCTGCCTGTGTTATACCTGCATCTGGCAGGTAGGACAGGCTGATGCAGACAGGCTGGAGTTTGGTGTATCAGTATGTAAAAAGCCATTCAGAGGATGCGCATGAGGATGGGCACGGGCACCTGGTAAGATTCAGGCAAACCTCTTTTATTCCTACAGCAGGATTTTGTACCTCTACCTCCATTAGGATACAGAGATGTGGGGTAAGAAGCTCCCTTGTGTATCTGCTGCTAGGATTGCTAAAACCTTCCTAGGCCAAGGTGGAGAGGCCTGAGGCTTTTAGTGTTAACCACACTCAGCAGCCACTCAGATATAAACCATGAAGCACCATGGCAGTGACCAGGAGATGTGCTGCCTCCATCCCTGTCAGCACTAAGCCACTGTGAAGGGAGGCTGAAGATGTTTGGGGATATATTTTAACCCGGCTTTGCAGGTTTGTTGGGTTACTTTTGAGGGGGGTGGGGATGAAGGCAAGGGACAAATTGAGACCAAACTTTCCATTAGGCTAAATCAACTGTGTTAAGATGGATTTGAATGACAGCAGAAATGGGCAGATGCTTCTGCCAAGAAGCTTTTGACACTTGTACCATGACATCTGTACCATGTTGCAGATGTGCCAAGCATGTGGCAGAAATATGCAAAAATTTCATTATAACACAAATAGTGTCATCTGCTGCCTGGTCCCCTTGCATTGCTGCGTTCCTTAGCTGCCTCATTAGGTGGGGAGTAAACCTGATTACGGACTTGTTTGTCAAGTGAGAAGTCAGGCTAATTAGTTGTGTGGGCAGAGGATCGGTTTCAGGCTCATTGGGAAGGCATCCTCATCCTTTCCTCAATCATATGCATCCTGCAGCGGGGTTTGGCGCAGGAATTTGTTTGTGGGTTCTTCTTTAGAGCTTATGGACAGAAAATTTGGGCTAAATGGGGCACTGAGAGAATCTTTTTTTAGCCTGTCACACTGGAGCCGTGAATTGCAGCAGCGCAACTGGCACTTTTGCAGGGCGTAAGGAACACTTCCTTGTCACCCTGCAGGGTATGTGGCGGGAGTGGGCGTGCAGCGATAATAGAGTCACCAAGTGAAGTGGCAGGCCTGTGTGCCTGATTTACAAATACCAGTGTTCTTTATTTACACAGACATGTAAACAACAGAAGGTAAACAACACCGCCCAGCTCGGTCTAACAAACAGGCTGCTGCTGTTTCACTTCAGGACCTGAGGTGTTTTAGACATTTCACAGAAACTGTATTGACAGCAAACACAGGAAGGCTACGAGGTCACCTTGACTCTTTCTTCTCTGCACAGGAATTGCATGCACGGTGTGGCAGTGCGGGGGAATGGCACCACCTGAGCCGCAAAACAAGGGTATGCAAAGAACCAACTCAGAGCTTGCCTTAAGTTCAGGTCTGGCCTGAGTCAGCAGTATTTGTGAGCAGTACCACTGCAACCAGTCTGTCCTCTGACAGCACTTTCCACCCAGAGATCTGAAAGCACACTGCAAACAGACTGATCAATCTTCGTTGCATCCTTTGCAAATTATCCCGTTTATATAGAAGGAAATAAAGGGAGGGCCTTCAAAGAGTGGCTTTCCCAGAGCTCAGGTTTTACTGGTCTCGTTTCCCAACCTTGCGCTTTAAGTATAGCACCATTCTTTCTTCACAGAAGTATATAGCTTCTTGACATTTTAGGACAAGCTTTTGAATTCAAAGAAATGCCCCACGTCCTGGAGGTAGAAGGGCAGTGGACGGTCCCAGTCATGACCAGAAGCTGTTCTGCTCCAAAGCTACCCCTGCTGAAAGAGGAGCCAGCAACTGTGCGATACATTGCACCCAATCCCAAGCTTTTTCAAGTTTGTCTGAAAACGGAACTAAGGGAAACATTAGCTGCAAAAGAAAAACTATTCCAAAACAACAGTGCTGATCAGATGTCTTGCAAATTTAACTGCAACAGTAAGCCATACACACACTGTGTTTCAGTTAGTTAAAATACTTCTAAGAGAAATGTTACACTAAATTTGTATAACAGAAAAATACCTAGTGGAGAAATTGAAGAGTTCAGGAAGTTCGCTGCTTTGTGCCAAGGAACAAATTTCCTTATAGTTTTAGCAGCAAAAGAATCAGCTAGGGCTTGAACAGCATTGACTTCTCAGCTGTAAATTCACATTTTGGTTACACACACACTTCCTAAATAAAAAAAATAAAAACTTAAAATAACTTCTCCAGATTAACTGGTATTGGATATGTTGTTGGGTCTTGGTTTTTTTGGTTTGTTTTTTTTTTTTTCCCTTGTTGTGGAGTGATAACCATGGCTTGAACCCAAAACCAGTTTCAGCATTTTGACCTGTTTTCTAACATGAATTGCAAGTTCGATGGGCTCAGCTTGTACTCTAGATCATATTCAAGCATGTGAGAATTGCTGCTAAAAAAGCAGCTGGGAAGTTGTGTTTGAGCACAGTATTTAAATACTCAGCTGCCTTCTCTCATGCACATTATGCAGCAAGACGTTTAACTTCTATCCTCCCAGTCAGAACTACAGCCGCATCTTCAGTTATCATAGGAAAGGAAATGAATCAACACAACCATAAGATACACCATTTACAGCTGCCAGTATAGCAGCAGGTAAGATAAAGACAGAAAAAGTGGACTTTTTAGTCCTAAATAGGCATTCCTGCAATCCTTTCAAACCCCCAGGTGAAAAGGAAACCTAAGAAATTCTCCTTAAATAAAAGCTATGTACAAATTGCACACATTGCAAATGGAGCACTGAGATCAGTTACAGAAAATAAGATGTACAGTCTTCACTGATAACATCTCTCTTGCTATAAACAGTGATAAACAGCATATGCTTTCCTCAGATGTCAGAACCCAGCAAGACAGCAATATTATGTACACAGGGCTTGTTTGCCTTCTGCCTCCCACAGCAGAGTCCCTCCAAACTCTGTTTTCACTTCAGAAAGCTGTGCAGCGACGTTCCTGCGCACCGTGCCGCTCCTGCTCGGCAAATCACAAGAGAGCTGTCATTGCTGTCTGGCTTATGGGCTTTAGGCAGTCCCTGGGCGTGGAGTAACCCTCGCCCCCGAGAGCAGTTTGCTGGGGTTTCTGGTAGTCTGTGCTGTAGCTGACAGAGGTCAGAACACCATTAACTTTGGGTTTGTCGTAGTTTATGACACTCTGGGGTGTCTGATAGTCCCCGTTCCTGGAGTCGGTTTTGCATGAGCTCGAGAAGCTGCCGGCGGTAAGGGAATGTATCTGGGATGAGGCGACAGGAACGTTGTAGCCGTTCTCAGGGGGGAAATTACTTTCTCTTGCTATGTGCCGCTCTATGATGGGGGTGGCGTACTCGGGCTCTTGGCTGGTCAGGGGCAGAGCATATTCGTGCCTGTTAGCTCTGTGAGGGCAGTGATAGTGATTTTCAAACTCAGAACTCCCCCTTCTTCCCTCCTCTTTGGTGTCCATGGGGCGAAAAGTGGATCCTTTACGTGTTACTGTCCCAGTTCCGATCATGAGAGGCTGCTGATAATCTGAAAGGAAGCATGAAATTCTCAATAAGGCATAGACTGGTTATCTTATGTATGTAATACTTATGCATAGATAGGTATTTTATGTTGAAAAACTACCCTGTTATTGTATCAAAAGTGTGGTTATTGCGGATGTGAGGAAACCTTTCCCCAACACCCATCCTGTAACCTCCTTCAGTGAGCAAGAGTTGCAGAGCATGGCAGAAACTTTTCCACAGAGAAGCTCCAATCTGCCACCTCTTTTTCTACTCCTTCACTCCCTCCCTCCCTTCCTTTCCCTACCTACCCTCCCAAACAAATTAACATTTCTGGAGTATACTTGAAAGCCCTAAAAAAGAGTGAGGTCAACGAAATATTAGCAACAAACTGGACAAAGGACATTGCATGAAGATCGGCAAGCAAGAAGTTCTCCAAAATGAGTGTTCCACTTTTGGAATAATTAAAATGCCCAGAGGATTCTTAACAAGCCGGCTTTATTTAAAAGGCATCTCACAGCAGCTGACTGACAAGAAGGATGAAGTTAGGCAAAACGGCAGCCAAGAGAGTCAATGGAAGTGTGAAATGTGCTAAGCCAGCTCAGCACGGCTGCAGGCATGCCAGGGGGGATGAGCTTGGGGGGAGAAGTGGGAATGGTGCTGCCGGAGGAACTGGGCAGTCACCCAGTCAAGGGGGATGGCAGGGATAGAGCTGGCCTAAGGCAAACAGCCTGAGCAGGAGCAAGGAGTGAGATGGAGGAAACATGGCCTCAAGAAGTGTGTGTTTGCACTTCTAGCTAAGGTAAGTGCCAGGAGATCTGAACGAGAAGGTTTCCTGAAAAAACAAGCAATACTATTATGAGAAAAGTGAACGTTCTAACTTTCTCGCTTTGGCGACAATCTCTTACAGATACTAAGGGTGGCCTGAACAGCTCTAGTAAATGACACTGCTAAAGTATCGTGTTTTCATGCAGGCGTGAAGAAGTTAGCTCGGTTCTGTTCTGGCATCGCAGTTCATCTGACATGAGCGTCGAATTCGATCCCATATGTCCTGTGAATCTTTTTGGCAGTTTCTGGCTGTGTCCCAAACTTCAGCATGTAGGGTGAAGGTGTTATGATATTTCTCTAAGTAAGTAGTGCAGCTCTCCCCAGCAATGCTGCCGCCATCCCCAGAAATCTCTCTCGCTCAGGATGGAGCATCTCGGCTTCCTCCTGGCTGCCTTTGGGAACCAGCAGGCAGCTGGTTCCCTCTGAAGTGAGGGAATTCCATGTAGCATGATAACCTGTATGCAAACTGGGTGCTTCCTGCAATTAAATTATTAAATGGCACATTTCTATATTACATTCACGTTCTTATTTCATGTTTTTTTTATTTTTAAGGAGACTGCAGGTGAAATGCTAAGGCTGGGAATACGCCTGAGCCAGGCTGAGAGTTCAGACTTCCCACAAACACAGCAGGAGGGGATGGTGGAGAGAGCAAAGGCTTCCCAGATATGGCCAGGGAACCAAAAAACCATATTTTGTGAGCAACCTTTATTCATTCTCTTTCCTTAAAACTGCTTTATAGGTCTCTGCAGATTTATATTAAAGGCTTCTATAAAGGATTGAAACTGTCTTTGAAAGATATTGAGAGCAGCACCATATGGAATTACAGTAACCATCCATTTGTTTTTTAAATGTATTTCTCTGCCAAACACAATGAAGGAATTCTAAGGAATTTGTAAGGTCTGGAGGCTGGAAACAGGAAACTAATCTTTCTTCAAGAGTGCTGATCACTGATCCCATGAAATGGCTGGTCTCTCTAGCCTTACCAGACAGACTAGACTAGGCGGGGATAAGATGTGCTAAGAGGATGAATTAAAAAATCATCCCTTTGGGATGCAAATAGTACTGATGCTCTTTCATTGGGATTTGCTCTATCCAAACAGTGACCTGGAGCCAGGGTAGCACAGGAGATGAGTGCTGTGGTTGCCTTACTTCTCTCTCATCTACCTGCCACCTCTTCAGGAGGCCTCATCTCCCACATACTTCAGGAAAGCTGCACAGGGATCTCAGTACAACTTCCAGCTAGGCATGAAATCCCACCATAAACCAAGTAATTTTTCTAGTTGATCAGCAGCAAGGGGCATCATATTTTGTTCCATTTCCAGAGACACTTGTGTTTAAATAGAAACACAAAAATTAGTCAGCAAAGGGAAGCAATCCTATCCTAGGCACATTCTTGCGCTTCATCCATGCCTGAGTGCTTTCCATCATTACCTTCAGCTGTAACTATTTCAGAGTCAGGAAATTTTTCCAACAACTCCAAGAAAACAAAATTCCAATACAGTGGGTCTTTTACTCCCTAGTATATTTATAGCTGCTTCACTATACATTTGGGATGAACATGAATAAATCTATTCCTGGGCCTCAGCTTGCATAAGAGTTGAAACTTGTCACATTGCTGGGCTATCCCTGTCCCTGTTACTGGCTCTGCACACAGAGCAAAAGGGATGCATCTGAGGGGGAGCAGCTGTTACCTGCCATGTCACTGGTGACCAGATCCAGCTTTTGCGGTGTCTCCTTCTCGTTATTATAGCTGATGGTAAATTCAGTTGACTGATGTCTGGTAAAGGGCTGCTTGATTTGTTTCCAACAACCTTATGAAAAAGAAATTAAAATAGAAGGCTTATCAGCAAGTTAAATGCTTAGAACCAGAAGACTTACCAGTAAGTTTAATTTTTGGTATATTCATTGCTGTCAATATATTGAAATGGTTTAAAAACATGACTAAAATGGGCTGTTTGTTTAAAAAAAGCCCCCTAAATATGGAGGGTGAAGGAAGGAGTGAATCATCAACTGGGATTTCCAAGTTTATATAAGATTTTTTGGCAAGAAGGGCTCAAACTCTGTAGGTGCCTACAATGATGCCTTAAAGTATTTTGATAAAATACCAACTTTAAGTCAGTTCTGTTTTGGCATTAAATATGCGGCAAAAATAATGCTTAAAATTTCCTCCTTTTTTCAGTAGATTAGTGTGGCTTCTGTTTTACTGGTATCAGAGCACCCGCATTCATCAATTAACTTGTTCTCACAACATCCTTGTAAGACATAAAAGAAAAAAATCTACAGTAGCAGGGACTTGCTGGAGCCTGCACCAGGAGGTCTGTGGAGAGGTGAGTTTGACTCACAGCTTTGTAAGCCCCAAGCCTGGTTCACAAGGGCTTAGGAGCTTGATTTATGAAGCAGACATACAACAAATGAACTGACTGGGTAAGAGGCTATCTCCAGTTTCTTGGGATTTGTCCTCATTAGCAAGTGAGAAAGGATTATGATGTGACCTTGAAAAATCATATTAGCAAATATGATGTTAAGTACAAATTAATTTTCTAATGAGGGCAAGCTGCAATGGGTAACAGCATTCCTTTCACTGACGTCAGCACCTACTGAGGGATGAAATTTTGGAGCTGAGCTACTGCAAGAGACTTGTCAAGAGACATATGAAGTGCTCAGTGGTTTGGGTTTTTTATGGAAAGCCGAGTTTCAGAAAGATGTTTCTCTACAGAACTGGTTGGCCAAGAAAAACACCCCAGCTGCCAAGCTGATGGGAACCCCACTCTAGAAAATGTTATTGAGCAAGACAAAGAAAATACTTCATTGGGATTTTACAGTCACCTCCTAACACATTGTGCTCAAGCCAATCCCTCATTCAATACACTTCACTGTTATTAGGCTTTATAAATAGAGTTTCAGCCAGGGAGGGCAGTGAGAAGAAAATATTAAAGCCATAAAAAATTATTATCCCTTGCTCTCTTAGAGTAAGGCAATCCCCTCTGCTGTGGGGAAAAGAAAAGCAGCAATTTTCTGCAAAATAGGTATTTTGGAAGTGGGAAGGAAAAGAAGGGCACCTGGGAGCACTCTTACATGCTAATTTATGCACTCTGTATAATAGATCTTTTGTTAATTGCCTTTCTGTCATAGAAACCGAATTATATTGTTTCTCAGGGCACTGTGCTAGGATGACACAAGTGGGACTATCATTTGCTGTTTCCCTTGTATGAAGAGGTGAATTTGAATGAGGAAATGTGGATGCTATTTCACAAGCATTAAATGCTCAGTTGCATAAGCCCCTTCCTGCTGGCCCAGTAGACAGGACAGGACAAAGTGCATGATTCTCCACTAACCTGATTTCTGAGTACTGGATAATCCATAGGAAAGTCCTTTGGCTTCTCGCCTGAGAGGAGAGAAAAGGCTTTATAAACATCTGTACTTACAGCATTTCAGCTTCATGCCTTCCCTCCAGCAGAGCTTATTTACTCACTTTGATTTCCTGAAGGTTGTTGTTTACTAGAACATCAGGCATGCAAACCAGCACTTTGACATTTTCTTATTCTCCATCTATGTGCAAGTTATGAGTGCTGGTGTTCAAATTTTCGGAGCTGGCACTCATCAGTTTGATGTGCCTATGTCTAGATATGTCAGTCTGGGCTATGTTTGGGTCTGCTCTTCTGAATCCTTTGTCTATTTTATAGATTTACTGGGAATCCAGGGCAGAGCTGAGTATCACTGGTGATGAAGCAGCATCACCAGAGCATTGCTTACACTTCCAAATCCCCATCTGCTGACAGAAGCATTTCCTGGTTCGACGTGCAAGTGCAGGTTCATAGCAATGGGCATCTAGCAGGAAGCACAGTTAGCAGTGTTTCTTCCAGGCCTCAGTTTTGTGAGATTAAATAGCTTCATTTTAGCTGCTTGTACAGAGCTGAGCACCGCTTCCAGCCTACTAGGTTAAGTGCTCTAACTTAAGGGAGTGGAAAATAAAATAAAATAAAATAAAATAAAATAAAATAAAATAAAATAAAATAAAATAAAATAAAATAAAATAAAATAAAATAAAATAAAATAAAATAAAATAAAATAAAATAAAATAAAATAAAATAAAATAAAATAAAATAAAATAAAATATAAAGAAATAAAAGAAAATTATCTGGATAGATAGCTCAAATCTTCCTTCCCTTCACTGAATTTTAATTTGGCTTTGGTGTGGAAATTATCCTGTCTTTGACTGCTTTACACCTCAGTGCTAGTAGGTATATGTAGGGTGAAGAGAACAGATGGTTATGCACAGCTCTGACCTGCTTTACCTTCACTTTTCTCTGACTAGAGGAGGCATACAGTAAGAAATACAGAGACAGGTGAGTTCTACTTTAAAGAAAGACTGACAAATAGGATCAATTCCCAGGTCCCTGGTAAGGAAGCTCTGGACAGAGGGCATGGAGTTGGGCACCCACAAATGCCTCCTTTGACAAAAACCAGTGTCTTACTTGCGTAGGGCTGTGCAGATACAAATTCCAGAGAACAAGAACAGAAACAGCATGATGAAGATGGGGACAATTATAGCTGTAAGCTTTAAACCTGCAAGAGAAAAAAAAAGAAGGGATAAAATTTTAAAAGGTAAATTACTCTAAAGGTGCTAATATTTACTACAGCAGAAAATAGATAATGTTGCAGGAATGCTTCTTGAAGAGAGCATGAAAATGTACAACTGTAAAACTAAAAGACTACTCCTCAGCCATGGTTGGATGCCATGTACCCGTGTGGAACAATGTTAAAACAAAATAGTTGAATATACTTCCTCAAGGGTTATGCTTGAGTTGGCATCTATATGCATCCTTACAAAGAGCAGTTCTTTCTTATTACACACTAGATGACTTTGAAAAAGCCACTCATGCACACTCTGTCTGCAGTTGCTTATAAATCTGCCAAAGGAGACTGCAATTTTACATGCCAAGTATCTGGCTCATGCTGAACTGGCTGAAACATTTCAGTCAAAATAGTTCAAAGATTACCATGAGGGAACCTAGGGAAAAACCCATTTAGCCACTGTTAAATTCTAACACAACTTGCTTTAGAGCAGGGATTTGAAAATTAGCAGTGGGGTGGCTCTTGTGTCAGGAGTGTGCCATTCCCTGTTTCTACAGACACTTGCCAGCTGTGAAAATAAGGCAGTAGAAGTGTCCACAGGGTATTTACAATTTAGCAGATGAAACCTCAGTAGATTTCCTTTTCAGTGTACATGGATATGATTTACTCATACTGCTGCACAGATTAACTGAGCTTGCTTGTTCTTGGCAAGCAGTTTCAGAATTTTTTTTCTTCCACTGACTGCTTCTTACAACTATTTTTTCACAGAGGTATTTCTACAGCTCTCAGCTACCTAATGGGTAGTAGCATTTGGTACGGTGGGTCTGGCAATTCCTGCCTGCTATGAGCCCACCAGTCAGTATAAGCACCAAATTTTGTTTGTTTGTTTTTCAATGCATCTAAGAAGTTAGCTCCACAACATTAAAAGATGAAGACTGCAAATTCAGGGAGAATTACACAAATTAAGGTTCTCTGAGCCCCCATAAACACAGGCATTATGGAAGAGCGTTTAATTACACAATCAGGCACTACTGTATGCTGCTTTCAGCTGGGAACTTGGTCTGGAAGGAGTCATGGTTGTGTGGAGAGAAGATAACACTTTTGTGAGACGACTCCTTCACATACTAAAAAATTCTAAAATACAGGATGAGAGTGAGGAAGAACTCTCCCAAAAATTGCTGCTGAGTGCTCACTGTATTCC